TTCTTAGAATACAAACAGTCTTTCTCAATATTATTGAGGTTCTTAAATCTTTCAGTATAAATTACTCTCCATTCATCAGTTCCAAGACAACAAATAATAATCGAGATTGAAAATAAAAACCAATATATGTATTGCTCATGTCAATTGCAATGATCCTTGGGGTATTACAAAATTTATGAGCTTCTTGGATACAAATAAGAGAACATGTTAATCTTCGAACTGTCAATAACTCTCAGCTCATTTATCGTCCACGTGAGCAATTGGGCAACCATTTTTACTTTTATAAATAGACTTAGAAAAAGTAGGAGAAACAGGATGAGTAGGGATGGCAACGGTTCGGTTCGGCCAAAATCATCACCGAACCGTTAAATTTTTTGACATACCATAACCGCACCATAACCATGTAAATTGGTTCGGTTCGGTTCATATCTCGATTCGACTCTGTTTGGTTCAGTTAATAACCACGAAAGAAATTATTTTTTATAGGTCCATTCGTCAAATTGATATAAAACAATTTATGAAAAGAGTGTCAATGAAAACAAAAACACAGTATTCCAAAGGAAAATGCAAATATTATCCCAAATTCCAATTGCAAAATACAAATTTAATAAACAATATTATGAATATAACAATACTAAACTTTTCTTTCATTTTTTATTCTTGTGCATTATAGATACTTTATTCATGCTCAATAATTCAAAAGTTTCAACCTTAACTCGTATTTAATCTTCATTCTTCCTCACAACCCTTACTAGCAGAGTTTAGTACTCAAAATTGATTCCTATATAGTAAATAAGAAATGTAAGCAGAGAATATAACGATACTATCTAATCCAGAATGGTTTTAACTAAGATTTAAATAAAAAAATGTACATCTTCGTCAATTTCCTTATCACTATATATTGTCATCCCTAATAAAAGAATATTTTTTTTCAAACGGGTATTCGGTTCGGTTTCGGTTCGACGGCATAAATACCACACCCGCACCGCCATGAACCAGTTCATTAAAATCAAATATCATATCTGCCTCATTACACCATCGGTTCGATTTTTTCGCCCCATTCGATTCGGTTAACCGCGGTTTCGATTTTAACGGTTCAAATTGCCATCTCTATGACAGGACCTTTTTCCAGGATTTGATTTGACAGTTTTTGATTGGCAATTCTCTATTTAATTTTTCTTTCAACAGCCAATGAAAATATGTCAAGTATATGTCTATCAAAAAGCATTGTCAATGAGCCTATTTTTCTAGCAAAATTGAATAGACTTTATCTCCAACTCTTTCAATCACGTCTACTTCAACGTTCAAGTCACTTATCAATTCGTCACGTCAGATCTGTCAACATTCATTGTCAAAACTACTTGTTTGAGTAGCTCAATTCCAAATAATAATATCCTAAGGGTTAAGGACATGGCCAAACTGTCCTTGGATAAGCCCAAGCAAATCATGGGTCAATTGCAAACGAGCTGAGTCGCCAAGCCCACGACTGCTCAACCCAATTAACACAGCAAGGTCAACACTGTTCCAAATTTTTTATTTAAATTTCTTAAATTTTATCTGACTAGTTACATCCACCAAAAACTGAAAACGAAAAAAATTTGAATTCTTTATATAAAGTAATTAGTAATTAGACAAGTCATGGAACTTAAAAGTCATAAAATTCGAAAATAATTCTACACAAAAATTCAACAAACACAATCAGTATAATATTTTTCCAGATTTTCTTTTTTTTAAATGTAGATATTGCCGGCAGTGCCGAAGTGGGTAAGTCTTGATGTAGTAAATAAGTTGAGGCTCAGATCTGTTATTGTCGGACGAGAGAAAGTCCAATCCGCCATGGCTGCAAATCACCGGTTGCATGTGATCAGAAAAATCACATGCCATCCGTGTTGCCTCGCCAAGTTACGGGGCCGATCGTCTCGTTGTCCGACTCATAAGCTCAGAGGAATCAAGAAACATCGTCACAGCCACTTTATTTACTTCAAAACATACCGCTAAATAATAGCATTACTCAAAACTCATAATCTCAAAAGCTTTGCCAAGTAGGGAAAATACTTGAAGGGTAAATTTCATTCGCAGTCACCAAACTTGGAAGAGCGGAATGTGGAAAAAGTTTTGTAAAAACCCTAAACCATAACCCATTACATATAGTACCCAAACAATGGCTGAATCTCTGTCTCTTTCTCTCTATATACACATAGATTTGAGATTTCCATATGTATGTATGTATGTTAAAGGGTTGTTAGTGAGTTGTTGATAGATGAATCATTGGCGAAGAGGAAGGGGTAACAACCCTTAACAAATCCCCAATCTTCTCCCCTCATTCTACCCTCTGAGCTTAACCTGTTGCCTGACTGCTGAAGGGCTTGTTACTTACACCCTGTTTGGCCCCCATTACCTGAAAATGGTAATGGGGGGAATAGTATTTTTTAGAAAAATGAGTGGTTGAAAAAGAAGGTAAAGTTTTCGATTTACGTGTAATATTATTTTATAGAAGATTGTATGGTTGAAAATAAGAGAGAGAAAAATGGAATGTAATGTAATTTAATTTAATGTTAATCAAACAGGGGCTTAATGAGATCCAGATTACCTTTTTACCCCCATCTGATTACATTTTTTGCTGCCAGCTGTCCAGCAATTAGGGGATCTTGTATGGTAAATAAAACTCTATATGACGAAAAGCACGAAAATAAAAAAAATAAAAAAAAATGTTATTATTATTATTATTATTATTATTATTACTATTATTATTAGATTTTGCTATTTGTACACCTGATTTGGGGTGTCCACAACAAATAAAAAAATTGTGGCCCTCCCTATTACGAGGGGCCTGTACATCGAGGTGTCAGACTGGCAATTGACACTAGAGTTTTCAATTTGGCTTGTCAGCTCGACTCGGGCTCAGTTCGGCTCGAGGCTCTGTAGAACTGAGCTCGAACCCTCTAGGAGCCTCGAGCCACACGGATCAGCTCGTGATTAGTGGACTCTTAAAATAATTGTAAAAATGAAGCTACAGAGAGCTGCATGATGCCTGCAAAAGGTAACAACACGCTGCCTTCTACATTATTATTAAAAAAAAAAAAAAGAATGTGAGCTTTCTTGGCTCGATAGAATCCGAGCTGAAAGTTTAAGTTAAATCTAGATTTTTTTGCCGAATAAAAACTTGGCTTGGGCCAAAAAAAACCCCTAACTATTTTGCACAAGCTGAGCTCAAGCTTCAAGTTTTAAGTTGGGAGCTGGTTTGACACGGCACACTTATATCCCCTATTGACACATAGCAAAAGCCCATTATTATGAGTAAAAAAAATAAAATTGAGGCTCGAATATGTTTTTGTGTCAGGCAAGAGGACGGTTGCGCCATGACTGAAAAATCACAAGCTGCAAGTGAGAAAGAAGAATAATCCCAATAGTCAAATGCCACTTGGGTTGCCCCGCCAATATGTTTTTGTGTCAGGCAAGAGGACGGTTGCGCCATGACTGAAAAATCACAAGCTGCAAGTGAGAAAGAAGAATAATCCCAATAGTCAAATGCCACTTGGGTTGCCCCGCCAAGATACAAATAATCTAACACTTTATTGCCTTGTCAATAAAGTATCATATTGACTACCCAATTTCATTTGTAAATGAAGTTATCAGATGGCTTGACTAAAACTAAGTATGAAGTTAAGTGACTATGATGAAATAAAATTAAATTGGATTGCTAATGTAAGTATGAAATTGAATGGCCATTGGTGGATTTAACCTTCACAAACTCTTAAAAGTCACTTAATTTAAGAATATAAGCTTAGCCAAACATATGCTCAAGCCTCCGTTTGCGAAGAATTTATAAATAGCCTAATTTAATGTATTCGCATTTCGAACAACAGAGCATCGCCAAAAGCAGCATGTGTGTAACAGAGAGCAAGAAGAGCTGACGAAAAAGAGTAGCCACAGGAATTCCTTTCTATATGCCACACTTAAGGGTTGTTAAGAGGTTTCGAGTTAATTAAAGGATGAAATCATTGGGTAAAAGGAAGAGGCAACAACACTTGAGAAACTCCTAATCTCTCTTTACCCTCAATTCTTTCCACCTGAGCTTAACCCAAATTTCACTGGTGAAGGTTGTTATTTTTATTCTCCCCAAATTCTAGTTTAACCCTCATTTCATTTGACTCCCATTTTACCGTTTATGGTTGAGGGTGCTATTTTGATTCCAACTTACTTTACATTGTCCGTGTGTATTAGCTCCCCTGTGACAGAATTTCTTTTGAAAAAAAATTATTTTTTGAATAGTAAAATTTGGTAGAATTTGTAGTTTAAAAAAAAAAAAAAAAAAGTAAAATTTGGTAGAATTTGTAGTTTTAAAAAAAAAAAAAAAAAGATTTACGTGGAGAATATTTATTATGATTATGTATAGTTGAAAATTAATTAGTGAAAAAAGGAATGATTGTCAAACAAAAGCTTGCAGTACCTCAATCTGTCAGTGCGTAAAAGAAGATTTTTTGCTTTAGAAAAAAGTTAGGCCTGGTACACTTCACGTGCACTGTATAGCCCCTGTTTGGCTCCATTATTTTTTAGGAAAATGCTATACAACCATAACACTTGACACAATGCCTGACCAAATGATGTGGAAAGTGGGAAAATTGAATTTTTAAAAAAATACCACAAATCCAAATTTAAAACCACACGCAACAGTCTGACTTCATTTATTACTTTCAGGTTTCAGCCATTTCACCCCATCCCCGCGAAAAATAAAAAACCCGCCCATTCGTCCACAGTATTCTCCCCCAAATTGCAAGAAACTAATTTAGCAAAAAACTTAAATCCCTTCAACGGCTGTGTCAACCTTTCTCTGGCTCCCATCGTCTAACTTCCGGTCACACATTGGACTACGACCTCCGAGCAGAGGAAGGATATATTTTGTACGAACCAAAAAGCCCAAAATTTTTGTTTTGGCTGCTAGCTCAAATTAACGACCCATTTGTTCATCAACACCTGACCATTGTTGTTCAGTTGTAGAAATGTCAGGAAAAGGTATTATTCATCTTTCTAACAATGTGAAATTTCTAAAGTGTATGGTAATTTCTTTTGAGGAGAAATGTCTTAGTTGAATATTCGAAATGTTGCTTGTTTTATTCATCAACACCTGGCCCGTGGTTAAATATTCGAAATATATTGGTTCTTTTATGGATGGTAATTTTTTAGGGGAAAATGTCGTCGAAATCGCGACCATCGTGACATGACAATCCTTTATTAAACTGGTCGAAATCTATTTTTTTATGAAGGACGTGACTTTATGATTCACTGCTAAATTGGATGGCATCTCGCAATGTGGGTGTGAACAAGTATACTCTAACCATAATTCGTTTGAGTGTGCATGAAATTTTATAACTAACAATGACTGAGTACTATATACTAAATATGAAATTATTTCATTGGGAGTTGTTTTAACATTATCATGGATTGTTGCAGGAAAAGAAACTATTGAAGCTGTGGACGACATTATTTTGGTGGAGTCCGATAATGAGAATGTTACGGACAATATGAAATTACAGGGTGATGTAATGTTAGGCGGAGATGGTGCGATTGTGCCTGAGGTAGGCATGAAGTTCAAAGATGAGAATGAGATATTCGAATTTTACAAAAAATATGCATATGGTGTCGGTTTTCCAGTTAGAAAAAGGAATTCTGGAAAGGATGATAATGGAGTTTTAAGATATGTTACATTTGTTTGTAGCCAAGAAGGGAAAAGATTTAGTAATACAAGTGGTTGTTTGAAGCCACAAGCAACCATTCAGAGTGGATGCAATGCCCGGTTGACTGCATGTTCAGATATGTGTGGGATTTGGAGAATTAATACAGTACATCTCGACCACAACCATAAAATTAGTCCTTCAAAGTCTAGGCTATATAGATGCAATAGAGAATTGAGTGCTCATGTTAAACGACGACTTGAAGTAAATGATATGGCAGGAATTTTATTGCACAAAAGTTACAACTCTGCAGTTGTTGAAGCAGGAGGATATGAGAATATGACTTGTGTGGAAAAGGATTGTCGGAACTATGTTGAAAAGACAAGGCGATTAAGACTTGGAGAAGGAGACGCAACAGCAATACAATCGTACTTCTCGAATATGCAAGCACAGGGCTCAGGATTTTACTTTAATATAGATCTAGACGAAGAATGTCGGTTGAAGAATATTTTTTGGGCAGATAATAGGAGTAGGCAAGCATATAAGGAGTTCGGTGATGTTGTTACCTTTGACACTACATATCTTACTAATAAATATGACATGCCTTTTGCTCCTTTTGTTGGGGTGAATCATCATGGACAATCAATACTTCTTGGATGTGGTTTGGTGTCAAACGAGGATACAAATACATTTGTCTGGCTCTTTAGGACATGGTTGCAGTGCATGCACGGTCAAGCTCCAAATGGGATAATTACTGATCAAGACAGGGCAATGCAAAATACAATTCAGATAGTATTTCCCAATACGAAACATAGATGGTGTCTGTGGCACATATTGAAAAAGTTGCCAGAAAAGTTTGGATACCACGAGGACAAAGATTCAATTTTTTCTACTATACACGGATTGGTGTATGATTCTCAAGTTGTTGAAGATTTTGAACAGGGTTGGAGAGTGATGATTGAATCATATAATTTGCATGATAATGAATGGTTGTCTGGATTGTACGAGAATAGAGATCGTTGGGTTCCTTGCTACCTGAAGACTACTTTTTGGGCGGGCATGTCAACAACTCAACGAAGTGAGAGTATGAATGCATTTTTTGATGGGTATGTACATTCAAAAACCTCATTGAAGCAATTTGTTGAACAATACGAACGAGCATTGAGAAGTAAGGTCGAGAAAGAGTTCCAAGCAGATTTCAAGTCTTTCTCGCAAATGGTACCGTGTGCAACAAGGTATAAGATGGAGAAGCAATTCCAGAGAGTTTACACTATTACAAAATTTAAGGAAGTGCAAGATGAGTTCACTGGTAAGGTTTATTGTGACCTGATATCTTCTTCTGATGGATGTTTCGGGACGACGTATGAGGTACTCGAGGATATCATATATGACGAGCGTACTAAGAAAAAAATATTTTCCGTCTCATTTCATCGAGAAAATTGTGAAATCATTTGCAGTTGCCACTTATTTGAGTTTCGAGGAATACTTTGCAAGCATGCAATCGCAGTATTGATTCGTAATAATGTCCAATCACTGCCGGATTGTTATATATTACGGAGATGGCGGAGAGACGTGAGTAGAGCCTATACAAGGGTCGTAGTGAACTACAATGGGTTGGTTAGTACTCCTGAACAGTTGAGGTATGATAAAATGTGTCAATCATTTGCCTCATTAGCAAACATGGTTGCGGATGATGAAGTTGAGTCTGGTGCTATAGTGGAGTGGATCGAAGATCAGTGTAAAAAGCGATTGATGTCGAGTAATGTCCTATCCCCGCATATTACTCTAATAGATTCTGAGTGTGGAACATCACAGGGGAGTGGTAACAGCAACATACGGGATCCTGTATGTGCGAATCGAAAGGGCCCACCTAAGAAATTGCGTAATAAGAGCGCATTGGAATCGAGTTCAAATAAAGGGAAGGTATTTCTCAAATTTTTGTTACATAATACATTTATTATTGAATTTATATAGTGGATAATAAGACATCTTCTATGTAGGGTGGTTCGAAATCAATGAAAGAAAAGGGGGCAAAGGCACGGCCCAGTAATCTAAGGGACAGTGAACCCATCATTCATGCAACTCAACAATCACAACATTCCATGCCGATACCGTTATCGTATTCTCAACTCCTAACGGTTAGCAAGTTTTCCTTATTTAATTTCCTCGATACATTACCGTTGTCCTAATATTGTTATTTCATATAGGGTGGAAACCAAAGTCTTCAATTTATGCAACACTTACAATCCCCAACTTTCATCGATCCGTTTTCGAGAAATGTTATATTCAATCCTCAAGGTAATAAAGTGGTCGAGTATATGTATTTGTAATCCATAGTCTTTGTAGTTTGTGTACTAAATCTATTTCGTAATGTACAGTATGTAACCCAATGCTGTATTATTTTCAACGTGAACCGGACAAGGATGGAGAAAATCTATGATAGTGGATGAACAAGAATGCCATACGAGTTGATGAAAAGAATGACAAGAGAAGTTGGCTTCGAAAAATTTTATAAATTTGCAGTTTCTACCGTGTTGTGTCTACCTTGGCTTTGAAATGATTTATAACTTGTTTGTTTGTAGACTATATCCAGTTTCTTCTTTGCTTAAGAGATGTATGTTATACATTTTATGCATTCCAGGGATTTGCAAAATCTGTGTATAGCTTAGGCAGTATTACGAGGCGTGTTCCTCACACAATTGAGGGGATGCCTACAAAAACTGCATGATTCCACTTGGGGTGGTCCTCAATTGGGTTTAGTTAAACCATGATTCCACATTTTAATTTATTGGCGTAATCAAAAAGTTGGAATGGTCATCCATACCCTAATTGCATGCAAGACATTTCTCTGAATATTAGTCTACATCCTGCTTACTTACATAGTACAATAAAGACAATAACAAGCCCGAATCTTAAAAACTGAATAGATCAGAGAGCACATACTATAAATGGGAATGCACTACACACTCACTAAAAAGCTAAAAGAAAATTCTCATCATGGGTCTTGGCTCTCGCACACATCTTTTATGTTATAAAAGAGTTTCAATTAAGCTATTCTTCATGGAACAATACCCCAGCGCCTGCGCGAGATTCGGCAGTAGCCTGATCTATGACCTATTGAACATATTCATACATAAGTGCCTAAGACTTTAATTCATACTAAAGCTATATAACTCAAGCCGACTCCTTTCCTTTCTTATCCCCTTCTGCACAAGCTCTTCCAGTGCGTATCATTACGATGCAAGAAATCTTTACACTTTCCTGCCATTGGAATATGCCAGAGAACAAATGAAAATATTATTAATCAACTAAAAAACTTTACAGGTATGGTTAAACTAGGAAAACTGAAAACTTGATTTGAGCTTTAACTCAAACTGGGGACGGTGCATTCAAAAAAATGGCTACAATCTGAAATTTTATCGATGCATAAAATTTAGCGTTCACAAAACCTCTTTTTTGCTACAATTTGAATTTTATCCCTATTAGAAAATATATTCTTCATCCACATTTCCACAGCCTTATCTTCTTCTACCCTACATCTCACAACAACCCATTTCAACTTTCCCTTTCTGGAGTAGTTAGTGAAATTATCAAAAAAAAATTTCAATCAAGTGCATTTCTTTTTTGAACAACAAATGCCCAAAACAAGAAGGAAAATTATTACAGATTTCGTACAGAAAGGAAAATGAAATCATTCAATTAGTGAGAAGTGCATTTCTTTTATGAACAACAAATGCCCAAAACAAGAAGGGAATTTTTAACAGATTTCATAAAGAAAGGGAAAAAATCATTCTCTTCATGAGACGCAAGTTCTAAAAAATCATTCAAAACTTACAGTACCTATTTTGCTCGGAGGTCGTAGTCCAATGTGTGACCAGAGGTTGGACGATACGAGCTGAAGAATGGCTGGAGAAAGGTTGACACTGCCGTTTGAAGGGATATAAGTTTTTCCTGAATTGGTTTCTTGCAATTTGGGGGGAGAATACTGTGGACGGGCTGGGTTTTTGATTTTTCGCTGGTGGTGGGGTGAAATGGGTGAGGGGTAATAAATGAAGTTGGGGTTGCGTGTGGTTTTAAATTTGGAATTGTGGTATTTTTTTAAAATTCAATTTTCCCACTTTCCACGTCATTTGGTCAGGCATTGTGTCAAGTGTTATGGTTGTATAGCATTTTCCTATTTTTTATTACATCAAATTAAAATTTTCTCTTTCCTATTTTTAATCATACAATCTTCAATAAAATAATATTAAACGTAAATCAAAAAATTTTTAACCATTCATTTTTTAAAAAAATACTATTCATCTCATTATAATCTACAAGTAATGGGGCTCAAACGACCCCAATCCCCATAGTGTATATTGTGGGTTAATGTTTTCTCCCCACAATAAAAGGAAGCTCCATCCTATTTTCTCTAACAAGCATGCTGCATGTGCACCCGTGCCAGATAACACACATGCATGGGTCCCAACCTAATTTTTTATTTTTTGCCCCATATGGGACCAACCCCGACAGTTAGGGATAATAAGACTTCTGTTAGGAAAGGAAATGCTCGGTTCCCTTTCTCTAAACCTCCAAATAATCTCTCCCCTCAAAATCTCCAGAAGTAAGATTGATATAATAAGTGTTTAAATCCTAACAGTATTGATGATTTAACATATGATTTTATCAAGTCAAAATTAAATAAGAAGCATAATTACGTCCTCATTTGATCCTCATTAATTTTCATTTTATTTTTAAAAAACAAAATTTAAAAAAAAAAGGGACGAAGAATACTTGTAGGGGCGGAAAATTAGAAAAGAAAAATGGGGAAATTATTCTCCTAAAAAGATATTAGTTGAATTCTTAATTAAACGTAGAAATTAAATTGAGGCTCAGATCTATTCGTTTGATCGATCAGGCAAGCAAGGAGAATATAACCGCGCCATGGCTGCATAATCCCCGGTTGCATAAAATCAAATGCCATCCGGGTTGCCCCACCAAGATACGGGTCATTCATCTCAAAGCCTGACTCTTCCAACTTAGGAGGATCAAAATCATCGTCACAGCCTCTCTGCATAATCAGATCGATAAGATTACCAAACTCGCTCATCGCTCTCTCTCTCTCTCCATCTCTGTGTGTGTGGTTGGAATTATAGTGGAATCGAATCCAAGAATAATTGGGTAAATATATTTCCATTTTCCACAGATAACATTTGCTGTTTCTAATTTCTCAAGGGCTGTTGTCAATTTTTGGGTGGAAATCTTCGGTTTCAGAGATAGGGGCAACCACCCTTACAGAATTCCCACTCTCTCCGTAAACCTCGTTCTTCACTCCCAAGCAGCTAACCCTAAATTCTGCCTTAGCTTTTAATTCATATTATGATACCCCACGCTTCCTAATTTACCCCTTCGTGCCCCATTTTGCCGACCAGGAGAATCCTTGGGATAGTAAACAAAAGGATATATTGGTAATTTCGCATTTACAACAATTTTTGTTAGTATGATGAAGTCTTTAGAGTATGATGACTAGTTATTAAAATCTTGCTTCAATCAGTTATTCGATGAAACTCACAATTTTTATCAACTGTTCAATTATTCAGATGTAGTGCTAATCTTTAGTCGAGAGGGTTTTTAATCAGATGTAAATTTTGCGATTCTAACAAGCACCAGCCTGTAGGTTTTAGTAGACATCAGTACGATGGTAGGATGTTGTGACTCAAAGCAAAGACGGGGGAAGTACTATTAACAACCATCTCACTCGTTGGTCCTTTTGACCGTCTCATTCTGCTGAGACGGCACTCTTTTTTTTGGTTCTCCTGTGTGGTGTTGGAAGTTGTTTCATCTGATATCAACTTCGAACCCGGCAGACTCCTCCACCGGGTTTTGGAGTTCATCGAAAGCAACGAATCATGCTCAACATTTCAGAATTATCAAGAATCCTTGCTAATGTCTGAACTGCACAATCACGATGATATAGAATCACTGAACATATATCCTCTGGAGGATTTAAAGACTGAAAATGGGTACCAACTTGCAAACCAAGTTAAAACTCGTCACAATTTCCTTAAAATGTAAAGAAGTGAAAATCAAATACAAACAGACGAGACGAAGAATTTCACAGAGCTTATACAGACATGGACATTATCTGACGAGCAAGTCCGGGATCTTGTTGTAAAAGCTCCCTCAGGTTCGTCTCCACCTCGGCCATCTGCTTCTCTAAGTACTCCTTTGACGTCTGTCCAACGGCAACAAAACATGTAAGTTCCCAAACGGGACCAATGCTCATTACAGATCATTCGTACAAACACGTATATAAATTTGCTACTAAAACCGAAGAACCCCAAAGGGGAAGACCAAACAGAACAACCCCCGTTTGTCTTATTTCAAAACTCCATTTTTTTTTTTCACTCTCATTTTCAACTACATTTTCTCACGACAAACTATCTTATAAGTAAACCCAAAATTTTTCTTACTTTTCACCTATACATTCTTCAAAAATTCACCATTCCAACACTCATTTTTCTACTTAAATGATAGATAAACAGGGGCTAAAATAGTGCCTAAATAAGCATAAAAGGATATATCTTCCCGTTGCACTTCTTTTCGTCTAGCAATAGAATGGTATTCTAATCTCCAGTTCTACCAGTCTCCAGGTTCCAAATTTTTATCATCGGCAAACTGGATGAAGTTGTTACTCACATGGTGTAAAAATAATGCTAAAGTGAGTCCATCCTTGTCAATTTTAAGTTTCACTTGAACATGCCAAGTAACAAGCAGCAGCATAATGAGTGATTAAAAAAATTGGGAGTAAGTGAAATGGAAAAAGTCTGATTCAAGTTATTTGATATGATAAAACTGTAGGCAAACGGTTCAGGTTGCAACTGAAAACATAAATTTTGATTTCTTATTAAAAAAAAAATGATACATAGAGATAATAACAGTTAACAGTAACAATTTTTGATCATATCAGACAGGCAGGAACTTGATGTGCATACAAAAAGACGTAACCATTAAAATTTTCCTTGAAATAAAGAGTTTCAAAGTGGAAGCGAATGAATAGTCCAAGGGTTTTCAAAAGAACCAAATCTGCTTAGCTACCATTAGACTTTCATCATATTTGTAGAATTCCCTCACAATTTCATTTTCGCCAAGTAGCAAATTGCAATTTTCACACACACTCAGGAAATTAATTAATCATTGAAGCATTTTTCATTTCTGTGAACAGTCAAAACTAATGTAAGAAAATATGTATAACTTCATGTCAACTTTGTTTTACATCTACTATATGCACTTTTGGTTGTATGAACTTTATATATTGTTGACAACAGTAATAAAAAGTACAATCCAAAGTTATCCAAGTAAAACAAACAGTCATTCCACATACTCAGAAGATTTCACTTGCAAAATGTAAAATCATAGCTAAAAAATAGTAGTTATTCATTGAAAAATAACTAAGCGAAATTAAATAGTATAAAAATAAAGCTATATAGTTTATAAATACATAATTTTAAACTTTTCCAAGTGACATGTCCCCAAAATCTTGGTGTCCTACTTCTCTGAATTGATTTTCCACATCCATTTCTTTTTGAATTAATTCTCTAATGCGTCTAGGTGTCATAAACAACTATTACAAAGACAGATACTGGTGTATGACACATAAATCTGTCCATAACTCAAGTTCAATTGATAATTAAATTTATCGGCAGATAAAGTGATGAGTAAAGAAAATGTTCATCAACTGAAGACATGAATAAATCATCAACGCTATATCTATCGATAAACGTACCTTACTATTGAATATTTATCACTAGGAATTAGTTTTAAAAATACACCATAAAAAATATGGAGAAATATTAAAACAATGCAGTCATTGATAAAAATAAAAAAAGGATCAATAAAACATATTTTGAATCAATTACATATCTGAATAAAGTAAAAATGACTGTTTGTGTGCAATATATAGTTGAATTATGTATAGCAAGACTAATATAAATTTAAAAGTAATTTGCAAAACCTTGCTTATGAATGAATTCAAAATTCGAATTTGTTCCTCTCTATAATATTTATCTAAAGAACATGTATCATAAATAATTTTTCTGTGATATTGTAACTAAAAATTGCAGCTATAATTATTCAATGAGAATATTAAGGGTGTTGTCATTCTCTGTATTGTACACTGTTTTTCATGCAGTTAACACATCAATTTCTTTGAAATGTGACTTTTCAAATTAACTGTCAAAAATCATAATATCAGATTTGCAAAACAATTTGCATCCCATTTTTGAAAATGAAAAAAATTTCGGACTTCAATTTCACATAAAGAAACTCTTCCTTGGAGTTTGTTTCTAGTTAGTACCTAATTACATATCACATTATCATTAAAAGTAATATGAGTAACCAACAACGAACGAATGTTCACTTAAAACATACAACTACTTGCAATTTGATATGTTGATGTTGATTAAATAATATCGGACTTGTTAGTATAAATTAGACAAGTGAATTTACAAGCTAATCCCAGTTTGTTTTAGATTACTTAACATATTTATGTTAATTAAGTTCTTTTATTAAAAAAAAAAAATCTAAAAACTAAATCTTTGCATAATCAAAACAAGAAATCTAAACAGACCTGCAAAGAAGCAAGAGCAGCTTCACTATCCTTGAGCTTTTGTTCTTGTTCTTCCACTAAAACTGACTTGGGTTCCAAAACAAATCTGCCCCACATAAACTTTACATCAATTTACACAATTTCATCCCACGTATCAAAATACAAATGGGTTATCGAAAAACTCACGTTCGGCCGATGGATTTATACGTATTTGTATCATCGGATAATGGTTTGAGCTCCTCCAAGGTTAAATACGCTCTTTTCTTTTCTCCTTCTTTATTTCGCATCTGATTCTGAACCTACACAAATATGCCCAAATAATAACACAAATATTCAATTCTCAGTACTAAAGAGAAATTATCATTATATAATACAATAACCGTGAGTTCATATACTAACCTGCTTCAGTTTTCCGGTTGTCTCGATCATGCGACCTTGGATTTCAAGAAATGCCTACAAAATCAAACAATAATGTGAACTCAATTTCGAGAAATAGAAATGAAAATCATAAAATTGGGAGTTGAATAAAAAAGGAAATTTGTATACTCACGCTTCTGTTTGCTTCATCTGCCATTTTCTTAGCTCCTTAATTCCACTTTTCTCACCGTCAGCTTCTGCAAGAAGGTATTGTACTGCCCTAATTTTCCTGCGTTTGTCGATTGAAGTCTTGGGCTTGGGCCTGGGGTGAAGTGGACGCCGTTAGGTTAAAATAAAAGCACAGAAATAGCACTAAATATTTTGACAATTTTTTGTGAGACACAACTCTAGAGCTAGATTGATTAGAGTTGAGTTTATATCAAAAATAAGTTTTATTTCCGTAGATATATTTGAACCCTTTTTCTCTCTTTTCGACTTTCATTTCTTTTTGACTAACACGTATTTTTCTTTTATTTACAAATAATAACAAGACTATCTTTTTCTTGATAACATATTGACTTTCATTTAACAAAATATTTTACCATTGGTACCTCCATATTTGATTTTTTTTCCTTCTTGACTAATACTATTTTCGAAGTAATTATCAACTAATAAACGTATCTTGTGCAAAGAATATGCTAATGGGCCGAAAACCTTGACTTATAGCATGTAAGAAGTACTCGACGAGGAAAGAATAAGCATCATTACATCAATAACAATTTGTAACCATGAACTGTATTTTACTCTATTCAAACTAATAAAGTGAGAACTGTAATTGAAAAAACAAAAGAACTAACGTGAAATAAGGAAGTGCTTTTAATACAGTCCTTCACATGATCTTCGAGATGAAGTATTGCCCTCTACTGGGTGTTGAAGTCTGCTACTAAGCAATAGGGATGGGCAAAATCTAATCCAAACCGTTCAATCTGATGAATCCAAACGTTTTTTTAAGTTCAATTGGGTTGAAAAATTATATTTGAGATTGTGTTGGATTGAATTTTGGTTTATGATTTAAAATCCAACCTAGCTAGATGAATTAAGAAAATTAATATCTAAGACCAAAAAAAAAAAACTGAAGTATAATAGTAAAAATATAAGGACTTATAATTTATAAACGTTCATTTTCTTTATATATATTGATTCACATGAACTTTATGTACAAATGAAATGTTATTTAACAATAAAGTAAAAACTAAGAACATGATGATGAAATGAATAAATCATTGGGGAAAAAAAAACCTTTAATAAATTTTAAATTTGTTTATACATTATTTTTCAAAAATAAAAAAATATCCTTAAATAAGTTTTAAAAAAACAAAGATTTTCCAGTAATTTTAAACTTTAAAAATTTATCCAAATTCAACAAAATAATAATAATAATAATCGGATCCAACTTGAATTGGGCCGAAACCCAAACCAACCAACCCGACCCAAACTAACATAAACTTTATCGGGTTTTCCCAACCCAACTCATGCCTGTACACCTGCAAAACAAGTGTGAACATGTTCCCTATATCCAATTGTTCCGATTTCATTGCAATCCCATGTCCAGAGAATCTTGGAATTCTTGAAAGCTTCAGCCTGTTGATTTGTACAAGATTCAGCTTCAAGATATGCTCGTAGTAAATTTTTGATGATCAATTTATAATAAAATGCTACAATTTGTCCCTTTCGATACGAAAAGTATCGACTCATATCTTTGTGCATATCATGTTGCTCACGCTATCATTTTTCTCGTTCTCTAGTGGACTACGAAAGTCTTGACTCTGTAGTATGCTCAAGACTGGTTAATCCTACTGTAAATATTCCCCTTCGACGATTCTATAGTTTCTCTCTCAATTTGTTCTAACTTTATGAATGATAACATGAATCTGAAATCTTGGTGATTGAATAAAGAAAACAATTATACCACAAAGTATTACCGTCCACCAATCGATTTTACAACAAAGTACCTTTATCCACAGGTATGAGCACACGGATAAAATCAGATATACAGAAAGAAAACTTTTTGTAGCCAATTTCCATAGTTCCGTAAAAATGAGCACGAACCAGTATAATAAATGAGTAGAAACATGTTGAACTAGTTTCTGTACTACTGGCCTTCATCCATTGGATCACCACGGTTGCATGTCCGAGATCTTAGATCACTGCCCAATTGACCCGACTCGTCAGACTCGGATGCTTTGGAAACAGAATCTTCAAGTGCCTCAAGAAATGAAGGCACGGTGAACTTGTCTGCAATAAGGGAATATATTGAAATTAAATAAGAAAAATTTGGAAGCAGCAAGCATACAATGATCTTAGTGATGGAACTCCAAGTAAATGGACTTAGAGCACTAAATTATATTCATCGTCCACACGACAATGTTGTTAGCACGTTAGAAGTAATTATAGGGCGAGTGCAAGAATGTGGATATACAGAGATGTTCCTTCGTTAAGACTAGGGATATGAAGAAAGTTCACTCTCCAAAAGTAATGGAAAGGGCTCGAACGAAACTTTTGTGGGAAAGCTAGGGGTTGAAGCCGCAGTTATAACCCATGGATAAGATGGAAATCCTCATCACTTACATTTGGTTGGATCGATTCCGAACTGAGTGAGATCTACCTGTCCAGTTCGCAGCACCTATAGTAAAAAGGAATACATGCGATTAATCAACAAACACCAAAGAATATAGCCCAAAAGAAAGCCTCAATTTCTAGGTGTTGAAGCCTCACATATGTAAATGAATCTAATTGTTGGCGAAATGGAGGGCTTTGTAACAATTCTATAAACTCCTCAGAAGTCCATTGACCCTGCAACCTCGCAAGAATCTCATGTGTTGGAGGAGATATAAAGAATTGACAACTTCAAGGAAAAACATGAATGTCAAATTTTTACCTCGGGTAAGTATGACACCAATTGTTGTTCCAATGGTAGTTCATCAATAAGTGGTAATATAAACTCTGGCTTCAAAATATCACCTAATCCCAAGCCTAGAAAACCAGGAAGCTTTAACAATTTCCAGTAGAAAAGAAGTGATTGTCAAACCAACCCAAGTTGGATGGTGTAAGGTGAAATATCAGAGGAATGCAATGGATGAATAGAATCCTTATATCCATGGTTCCATTATGTTATGAACTTAGCGTGATATAAGATTGTGTAAATAAAAATTATCATAGCATGAATCGCAGAAATCCAGTGAGCACAAAAAATATTAGTAAACAAACAAGACTCCACAAAATTTGAGTAAACTTAAAATGTAAACATTATTAAAGCTCCAACATCTTGATGTTGCAGAAAATTTACCAGACCTTCAAAAATACATGTGTTGACATAGAACTATTACCAAGCCAAATCAAATAGATGCCAGACATGATCAACTACATTTTTATGCTACAAGGTCACTACAAGTGTAGTTGTGATATGGTAACCCATAGACCAACTTTACAAAAAGTTCAGTATTAATCAAGAATAATACAATGGATGTACGTACCTGCCTCTGGATCTACTGCTTCATCTATGTTAAAATAAAAAATATAACATTTTGTCAGCTGAGAACAAGTTTAAAACAAGAGTACACACAGCAGCCTGTTCTCAAAAGAGAGTACCTGAAGACCCAATGTTACTTAATATTCTCTGCAGATCCGCCAACTTTACAGGTCCAGAAGAGGTTACTTCACTAGTTCCTTCAGCACCCATGCTTGAACCCACCAAATTTCCAGCCCTATGAAAGTAGAAACAGCTAATTGATCACAGCATTCTTCATTGAGGTCTGTGGTGGTACTGGAACAATGTTTTTTCTTCTTCTTCATTACTTGATTAATTTATTGCTTTTCTTGGTTGGGTGTTCTAAGGTGAAGGGGAGAGGGAAATTGATTGAATCAGCAGGGAAGTATCTTCAGGTTTGTTCCCAATGTCATCTAAATTTTTAATCAAAATAAAAGGAAAATACAGAGTGAGGTATTCATAAATTATCATGAATACCGTGTTAACAGGTAAAATGCATTACAAGTTCGCTCTTGAAGATCTTATCCACGCTCACCATCATACAAGCATACAAGCTTCTCTATTTTGTCAATATTACCTTGATGAAATATCTTCTTCAACCATATCTTCTAAACTAGGTACAGGAACTGAAGCATCAGGCTCCTCTTCATCAGGTAACTCTAATAACCACCAAATCTTAAATTAGATCGAAGTTGATAGAAGAATGCCACAACAATAAAATATCAAAGAACTAAGAAATTAAATGATTATTACACTAACTCAAAATAATCTTGTACAGGTGACTGATGTATATTACATGTCAGGAATCTGCATTTGACGAACCTCCAAGTTTGGGTAGCGAGGAAACGGTAAATGATTTCTGATCTGTTACTATATATTTAGGGCAATATATATATTGTTCTATGCAACATGAGCTACTCAAAATCCACATTTAACTCAATTTCCCAACTTTTAAATTCTTCCAATGTTCATATAATGCAACAGGCAGCAGTAAGACGCGTGCAAAAAATGTAAAGCAGACTTTCTAAATTGTAGACAAGTTTTTGAGTACCTAAAGGCTGATTCAGGCACAAATTGACAGAGGTACATATCTGCGTATCACTTTCAGATTTGGGATCCTAGAACCAACAAAAGTAACAAGTGTTAGCATGATAGCATCTCAGATCATCTGCATATTGCCTAAAGACAAACATCATAGACCTGACCTGCATCCAAAAGAAGAACTTCCTGTCATCTGTATGAAACTTCAGGATGTAAACCCTTCCAGAAGATTGATTAACCTGAACAAAACAGATAAATCAAGAATCAACAGAACATATGAAGAAAAATATTTTTTTAACGACAATGGGCAAACAAGACCAAAAAAGTTGTACCTTTTCAAAAAAGGCTTCATCTGGGAAGACAATTTGATCCTGCATACAGCTTATGTTAAGAAATAAGTTGCAGCTAAATGAGAGTAGATAAGAGTAGTAATATCAGATGTAACAGAACCAAGATAAATGATAAACGGAAAAGAACAAGCGTCAGGTTTCCGTTGTCCTAATAAAGACATGAAACAGCATACATCTTCAACAACATTCACCGATCGATCCAGCCACTGAAAGTGGATTAGCCCTTCTTCTCCCTATCAAAGAGAGACAGTTCCAGTAAAAGGATGTGAATTCAACAATTATAATATGAAGTAAATCAAACCCAAACATAGGCAACTTGGAAAAATTTACGGAGAATACTCAAAAAATAAACATAAACACAAGGACAAAATTAACAGAGACAATTTCTGTAATCACTCATACCCTTCCTATTCGCACAAATCCTTTACGAGAATCAGGGACAACACGGTTTCCCTCCATAAGCATTTTCCCTGCACGAAACTCCAGCAATACTTCCTGTCCAATATAAGAACAGAATGTGATCTAATCACAGGTCCTAATAAAAGGAATAGAACAGAATCTATATGTTGAACAAATAAATGAGGATATAAGAACTTGACACGTAATCTTCATCTCAATGTTATTGAAGTAACTCAGGTAATAATATGAACTAAAGAAACCAACCCCACCCCCCAACAAACACACAAACCCCATACCAAAAACTGTTAAGAAAAATCCTATATCAGTGCTCCTACCAACGAGTAGCGAGCCAAATCTACCAAAACTTATATAGCCTGTTGCACAGTGTAAACAACAAAGAATGTCCAAGTAATAGGAAAAATTCTTCTCTATATGAGAAATAGGTGATCACGACTCTTGTAGTGAAGCACATATCAGAAGAAGATAGCTTGATAAGTCTTTGCACTTGCAACCACACGTGTCTTACCTCAAACCAAGTAAAGAATATAATTTTCAAAAGAGCAAGAGCTTCCACTTGAGGCGTACCTTGTATGAGGTGCTCATTAGAAACTCAAAATGATTACACTTCGGATTCTGTTTGACTAGGCTTAGGCCATGAACTTAATGTATGTTTGGTAAATCTTTTTGTAGATTATAATTTGTGGGTCCTATAGAAGTGTGGACAAAAGTTATGAGTCCTAGAAAATGTGTGAAGAGAGGTGATGTTTGACCTGCTTACAACCTTCAAAAGCTTTGCCAATCATGCACTTAGTGACACATGTGCCTATATTTATGTTTTGAGTTCCTTTATCTTGCCTTTTTTGGGTTATTTCTTTGCTAGCCTCAACTTTTTGATCTAGTTATCATAAACTAAAACATTTTAAGGATTTTTGGATTGTTTTATTCAAATCTCAACCCTGAAAAACTAAAAACAAAAAAAATGGAGATAAGAGAAGAGAATGATTGAAGAACCTGACCCAATCCAACACTCTAGTCCACAATTGACACGTGATCTGCCGAGTGAAGTTGCAACGTTTTATTGGCAGATAATGACTAGCAACACGCATATTGATTCTTCTTCTTTATATTTTACTTGTTTTTGCCACTGTTTATTTCTTTCTTCTGGCTGACTTATATTTCATTTCGAAGTCAAAGCCAAAAAAAATTATTAATAAATAAATAAAAAATATCCCAAATAGTGGGTTAATCGTTTCATTTCGTTTGGTTCCCAGTTGTGAATTAGTGGTCATGTTACATGACTACTGCTTCATGTATTTAAAAATTTTGTTTCTAGTTGCAAAAGAATTAACCTCGTTAAAAAGTTCTATTATGGATTTTTTAGATGGTTTTACGGTCTTTATAAGAAATAATTTTGTATTTTAAAAAGTTTTTAATTCATTTATTAGTATCTCTTCAAAGCATCTCAAGGCTTTTGTAGTTCCCCACAGAGGCAAAACATTTAATACCTGTAAAATTTCTTAGACACTGGTATCAAGTATTAACATTTAACTAAGTATACTCTAGCATAGTGAAGCAAATAAAAAAGGAAAATTTTAGCGTCAATGAGGAAAATAAGAAGTGTAATGTCTCAAATTTTTTACTACTAGTTAGATTCAAATTTAGGACTTAAGTGCACTATTATTAAAGTTTAATGACCTTACTGATTATTGATCTAGTCTAATGACCTTATTAGTTATTGACCAATAATTTAAGGGCCTAAGTAGAAAGTTATTTTGGAAGTTGAATGAAATCATACGTAAAACATATGTAAATATGCCAATTGATCTTGATTAAAGATGATTTATTGACCACATGCATTATTCACCCCCATATCAAGCCAATGTAAATGATTTGACTATGTAAATAAAGGAAGATTTGACCACATGCATTATTTACACCAAATTTTAAGCTATGGGAATTGATTTGAACATTTTCATGACATCAGACCATTTATGCATTGACCATGTCTAACATCTAGCTATTTCCTTTCACTTTTCTACGCATGGTTAAGAATTTACACTATAAATTGGAGACAAATCCAACACTAAACTAACCCTCATCGACTATTTACACACTCCCTTTCTACCTCTATAATTGTCCCTCCGCTTCCTCTCTCTCGTCATATTTATATTAAATATAGTCATACACTTATACAATCACACGTGAATAACCCACTCCACATGCGGCTCAAGGATCTCTTTCCAACAATAACTCCTTTTATCATTTTGAATTGTTCAGTGAAAAGGTAAATTGTGTTTTATGTTAATGGTGACTAATGTTTATGTATGTAATATTTCTACGTCTATGTTATGTTTGGTCCATATTACGTATATTTTATTAAGAATGGATCAGAATTTAGTAACGCTACGCACAAGAATTTAGCACCATATAAGTTCAGTTTAATTTTCGTCTCCGCCTATGCAAGTTATGAAATTTTCATAGAAATACATATATGAATTCATTATCTACCCACGCTTATTGAGAATTATTCTCACCTCATTATGTCTCTACTTTTCAGATAATTGACGACTGAGACGGTCAGCATGGATATGGCTTATCGTGTTAAAAGTTTCAATAACGAAATATTACGTTGTCAAACTATTATTATTTCGTTTGATTTTAAATATTTTAAGATATTTCTCGTTTGACATTAATTTATTAACCTTATTACATTATTTGAATTTTGATAAATGCTTTAATAATTTATATGATTGTGTTGAATATTCTTTAAATTAGTTTTAGTTTATGATTTAATGACACCCAAATCGTTTAAGGATTCGGGTCGCCACAAGAAGGGTTCACAAGTTATATCAACTGATGTCCCCAAATACGAAAATCTAATTCCATGCGAAGTACAAGGTTTGATCAGTAAGAATATTAACTTCAATAAGCTCAATTTGCCACCTCTATAATTAAAAGGCATAAAATCCAATTGAAGTGTTATTCACCAGGATGATCAATATAAAGGAGGAAAAAGAAAGAGAATATATTCATCAAACATCATCATTCCTCAAAAGCAAGGATGAAGGAAAGCGCTACAACCACTACCTTAGCCAAAGAAACTGTTTGGTACACAAGTTTTCAATGCCTAAACATCTTCGGACATAGCTAGATAGACCGGCTACTAAAAATCAACAAAAAATCTTTTTGACTATCAATTACTCCTACAAAAATGCCTCTTCGTCAGCTCATTTAAATTAGCACTCGGACAAGAAGAGGCAAATGCATATAATAAGCAAGCCTACTAAAAAGAGAGGATCTTAAATGCAATACAATTTGTCCAAGTTACTGCAAGAACCTTTACAAACATCTAGCTTCTTGGCTATTAAAATGATCACATAAGACGGTGGCCTATAATCATCTCTAAGTGGAATACTAAATTAAAAAATTATTATTATTGACCCAATCTATGGGAGATCTCACCGTAGACAGATTTGAACCATGCATGTTATTAATGGCAAGCTCAACCTGGAAGATATTAACCTCGGACCTGAGATTGACTCAAAATTATGATTGCAAAAAACCAAAAAAAAAAAAAAAAAAAAAATGTTGTTCCTAAACAAGTAACTACACCTGCGTGAAAGAAACATGTCATCTACAATCTGGATGAAAGAAATGCCATTATCCTCTAGCACTACCCACACACTGATGGTATCCATCACTTCCCTCCATAAGTATCCTCTCAATAAAATTGAATACTGAAGTAACTAAAAGAGGAAAAGAGGAGCATGCCTGAATTCTCTGAGTAGCCGAATAACATCTTTACAATTGTCTTCTGATAGACGATCTAAAAATGTACAGTTTAGCCTACGGCAGGTTTTCTCAAAATTGAGTATTATGGCTAACTACGTCTCTAACCACATGACGTCATCAACCACCTTATTACCAATAAAACTACATCAATATCTATCTCTAGGAGTGGGCATTTTTTCCCGGAACCGTTTAGAACCGGCCGGTTCGGTTCTGGTTCTTCTAAAAAATAATTTGATTTCGGGACAAATTATTAAGAACCGATCGGTTTCGGTCCGGTTCTTGGTTCTAGTATGGGAACCACGGGGAACCGAACGGTTCTCATAGAATTTTTTTTAGTGGGCATTTTTTTTCTTTTTTGGTAAAATATAAGACTTAACTCTCCAATTTGTCCCGAAACCAAATTGGTAATATATATGACTTACTCTTAAAGTGAAAAGAAACTTCCATCAAAGTAAAACAAAATAAAAAAAAAAAAAAAAATTGTAGTATAACAACATAAGCAAAAGGCAGTGACATATGGAAATGAAACGAATGTTTATGTATATAGTTCATATGTCACTTTTTAATTAAATAATTGAGAAAAATACTGAATTGTGATTACCTAAAGGCTCAAGAAAATGTTAAAAAGGGACCCTTCAGTTAGCATTTTTTCAGTAAAATACATGACTTACTCTCCAAACACTTTCATTTTGTTTTCATTTTGATGAAAGTTTGTTTAATCATTGAAGTACTAGATGGTTTATATAAGTTAATATTTGTTTGATAATAGTAACTTATATTATTTGCATATTGTTTTAAAATTTGTATACTTAGTTTTCTTTTAATCTTTGTATAATATGTTCGGTTCTTCTATATTTTTTTTAAAAGTATCACATTGGTAGTTTCTTTAGATTTTTTATTAGTAAACATTTTATTTTGACATCTTTATGTAAAGAACCGGATCAAACCGGAACCGATTGGTTCGGTTCCGGTTCGGTTCCATAGCTAACAATGGAACCAATGGTTCCATTTCTAAAATTCTCATTGGTATTCGGTTCGGTTCAGTTCCTTTTAGAACCGGACCGAACCGGACCGCGCCCACTCTTGTCTATCTCCCTTCCACTGAAAAAATCTGATAAGGGAAATAATACCATCAAGAACAAAGCCCATTCTATAAGAACCCTGGTAAAAAAAAAAAAAAAAAACTTTTATAATCATAAGATTAAGCCCCTGTTTGGCCCCATTTCCTAAAACTCAATATTTTCCACACTCATTTTCAACACATACTTCATGGGCCCCACAACTTTTACCAACTTTTCAACCACTCATTTCATCAACTTTTATCAAAATATACTAAAAATCTGTTTTTCCCCCAAACCAAACAGGGGATAATAGTGTGCCAAATTAATTCTCCTCACAACAGTTCAACCTTGTGTATAAAAGCCAAAGCAACGCAATATAATAGCCATCTCAAAAAACAACTTTCCTCCAATCTTCTTCAAAAGATCTCTCTAGCCAAAAAGCATGTCCGTCTATTCCTCCAAAAAATCATAGAGCAATAAAATCAATCCTCGGAAAATTCTTTCCACGGAATCTAGGGTTTTAATTAAAAAAGGCTCTCATATCTCTTCTCATAGTTGTCCAACTCTAATTGCCACTCAAAATCTATCAAGACACCACAGACCGAGTTCATGGTAGCTAATTGAATAACATCGAAGCCCCCACAAGGACTAGATAAATAGCTTAAATCACACAATCCCTTCTATAAACTAGACAATTTCCTCATGCTACTCAGCTATGTTGCATTGACAAGCAATTTGGACAAACCATGTAATTTTTCAAAAGTTTAGGATACAGACTCGTCGGGAACTTAAATTCATTAAAATTTTTACATTAACCTATTCTATCTTCATGTTTATACTTTTTAACTTTTAATAAAATCAATTCTTTTTCTAGTTTTGATTTTTGTTCGTGAAATATTTAAAATTAGTCGAGTAGCTAGTTGTTAGAGTAAAATAATTTAAACTAGATATTAGACTGATGGAGAAGAAAAAACAATTGTAGTATATACGACACAACACGTGTAAGATACGGACATAGACACACAACCAGTTTCCGTGCAATGCATCATAGTTACTTAGAGTTGAAAGTTGACCATGATCCCCAATGTCCCATGGACCGAAAACTTGATCAGATTGCACAGTAGACCGTTTCAACCCAATATTTAAACTAGCATTAATTCATCTCTTAGTGCAACAATTATCTTAAAGCAACATCATCTCTGATTAACCATGACTCTTTCCAACTCATCCCATTCATATCTACTGAAACTAACTCCAACCCTTTCTCATCAAAATGGGCCTACATTTATCTCTGTGTCAAAAAATTATTAAATGCAACTAGCAATATAAAGGAATAACATATGTTTTAATATACCCAGATTGTGAGCTCATAATATGCAACTTTATATAAGTAATGAACAGATTCTATGACAATCGAGCATGTATTCCATATTTTCCCCTAGGAGTTATATTTAACAAAGCAGATTAGGTCCAATAACATTTCGCACAGTACATTGACTCTTTTATGCTTGAGAATTTAAATAGTAAAAGCAAGCTATATAAGTGGAAAATACTCCTAGAAAAGGGATTTATGCTGGAATGTATCATATAAAAGAGATTCCAGCCATCGTATTGTATTCAAAGAACTGTTGACACAAGCATCAGATTCCTTTTTCCAACATTTGGAACTGCCCATGTATTATAAAAAAGATTTATTACATACATAATTTACATATATAAATAGTCGTACCTGAATTTGGGGAAAGGCCTCAGTTGTCGAAGTACCCATGAGTCAACTTTTTCCTTCTATTTCCTTCAACACAGATTATCAAAACCATAAAAAACAGTGCAAAATATATTTGAAAAAGTTAATATTGCCTTGTTACTAATTTGGTACAAAACCCTACTGCATTTCGTACATATAATCAAGGGATATACAGAAAAACGATTCAAGAATAAGACTACATGAGCATAATACCTTCGTCTGTGATGTGTATGGTGTGTATATATATGTGTAGGTAACGGTGTAGCTCTGGATTTTACAGAAAATAATAATAATAATAATAATAATAATAATATTGAATTTTTGAGAGAGATTTTCTAATGGAAAATTAGGGGTCGGTTGATTTTGGGTATGCAATCTTCAAAGGGGAAGTTCTGATTGTGAAATGGATTTAAATAAGTAGAGACGCAGAACCAGAATTTGAAGGCCGACTCCTCAAAACTGCAAGAATTGAAAGGTAGGGAGTTCAAACCCTAGCTTTCCCAAAATAAAAGGAATTACAATGACAAGCGTGAAAGAAATTGCTTTATTAAACCATTACATCCAAAAATGTTCATTTTTCCTTTTTGCCCAAGGAAAACACTAGTATCTATCCATTTAATTCATTAAAAGGACGATAATATTTTCTTGTATGCTTTAAAGAATAATGCTTGTGGTACATTTTGATATCCATTTTGGTGTTCAAAATGGACGCTCGGCGCCTCGGCCAATGCCGAGGCGCCTGCATTTTGATGTCCATTTTGGTATCCAAAATGGACACCCAACGCCTCGGTATTGGTCGAGGCGCCTGTGAACCCCGACGTGACAGGCGCCTCGACCAATGCCGAGGCGCCGAGCGTTCATTTTGGACACCAAAATAGACACCTTTTGTACCCATAGCACATTCCATGTTTTGAAACCCTTTCCTTTCTTGCATTATTAATTTATTAGCATCTAAGGATCGAAAAGTGTTGCTCGTCTACATGAAAATTAGATTTATGGTTCTCTATCTATGTGAATTATAATTAATTTACAAATTATTTTTGGTCATGTTTGCATCTTATACACTTAGACGTATTATTTACAATTTCCATGGACAACTTTCCATTATATATATATAAAAAGGATGGCAAAATGTTCGATCATCATCATGTCATGTCCTATCTCGTCCTATCTAGTGTTGCCCTAACTTGCATGAGACGGTGATTAATTAGAGAATCAAAATAGTTAAAAGGAACATGATCCCTTTCCGACCTTCCGAAAGTCCTGAACGGGGACGGCAAACGGGAAGTTCCACCCGACTCCATCTCGGCCTTTTACCATCCCAGTCTATATAACCCAAGTATATGTAAGAGAATTCAAAGGCCTACCACAAACTTCTCAAGCACTATTTCCTCATCCCATGCAGAGAGCAAAGAGATGACATTGTCAACTTGTTTTTACATCTTACCATTTGTCAAAATTTTGGACCTTCATTACACAGCACACTATTCTTGGCAACCTTTTGTGCCCCCGTGTCCCTTGCATGCCCACAAGATTTGATTTCATTTCTCCTGCATTCTCGATCTACCCCACATAACCTGTTAGTTCTCATTTCTAGGTGTCTCTCGACTGGGCGCACACCGTACCTCCACCACCACCACAGTGCTATGCCACGATGGTTGATGTAAACGAAGCCACTATTCTCTAGTTCTGAGCACTCTCATTGTCACCTCCTCCTACTCGTCATTATTTTCTTGCATCTTGTGTCCTCTTCAAGTAAGTCCGATGCAAAAATACTTCTCAATTTGATTAACAATGATGCATTATCCAATTGGGATCCCAGCAAACCATCATGCAATGGGGATAAAGAGAATTGGGAAGGTGTTCTTTGTGATCATGGTATTGTTTGGGGACTCAAGCTTGAGAATATAGGATTAAGGGGTAACATTGATGTTGATACACTATCCGAATTAACAAATTTGAGGGCAATTAGCTTGATGAACAATAATTTCGATGAATCGTTGCCAAATTTGGCAAAATTGGGTGCCCTGAAAACCATTTATTTGTCGAATAATAAGTTTTCCGAGAAAATTCCCGAAAACTTGTTTGATGCCACATTATCACTCAAGAAAATTCATTTGTCGCAAAATAAGTTCTCGGGTCAAATTCTGGTATCTCTTACGATATTGTTGAAGTTGATAGAGTTGATGTTTTAAGACAATGAGTTTGAAGGTTTAGTACTTGAATTTCGTTTTCAATGTATCTAACAATCAATTGGAGGGTGAAATACCCAATAACCTCAGATGAACGCTACAACATTTTACGGTCTGTTTTCTTAAATATATACATATACACGTCCCCTCGGGTTTATTTTTCTCATCCAAACCTAGCACGTGCATGATATTATAGTTCCTTAATACGAGTATTTGTGTTCTTGTTGTTATATTTAATTGGTAGTGTATGGAGTGGAATCGGGTTCTCATATATCGTATATGTAATTTAGATACCGAATTCACGCTTACCGTATTTGGCAGTTCAATTCACTGTATATGGTAGCTTACTGTATATGCCAGACAGCTCACCGTATTTGACAGCTTACCGTATGTGCCAGACAGCTTATCGTTTTTGCAACTTACCGTATATGCTGCCTACCTTATTTGCAGAAAGCTCATCATATTTGCACAAAATTTGCATAAAGTGTTTTTATTCATACACTAACTAAAACAACACAAATTTTTTCACTTACAAATAGAAATACCGTATATGTAAAATCTATTTTTCACACATATAACGAATTGAAAAAAAAAAAAAAACGTGTATTTTATATATATTTTTATTTTAGAAATCTATTTCTAATATAAATTTAACAAACAACATATAAGATGTGTAAATAGCTAAATAAATAAATCTACAAAAATAAAATACAAACTAAATAAATAGCAGATAAATTCTCAACCCGATGTCAGTGCGAACACAGTTTCCTTAAGACAAATTCGCTCCCTCACCGTGGTGCTAGAGGTTTAGTTTGAGCGTCTGTCTCCCAGGATACAACGGTAACCAGCAGAATCGGAGCACCACGGTTCTACTCCGGCCAACTGGGTGAGTGTTTGAACAATATCACCTTACTGGAATGGACACAGGAGGAGACGGAAGGAAAACAGAAAACAGAACTGAATCTGAGTTTAAACCGTTGGAAATTGCAGACGAAAATTTCAGTGTGTGAATTGCTGGATATTGAGTGAAATTATATAGACTGAATCTGACAATTAGTTTCTGCATTAATCATTGCAATTTTCGGAGTTACACTTCGGTTTCGACCATTGGAATTTTTGGAGTTTCAGACACTCAAAAGTCATTTGAAAAAACCACAAAAAAAATTGCAAAACGCAGACAATCCAAACTGGCCAGTTTTTGCTTCGTTCGGTCCGACATTCGTGTGCGCAGATCGCGCCCAAGTTCAAAGTCCTAAGGCTATTTCTGTCCGTGATTTGCACCCTCCCTGCACGTGCACGTGGAGAAAACATCTATTCTACACATGATCACACCATTTCAATGCATAGCCATATATAAAGTGGTATTGGCTTCCATGTTTTTCCTATGTGGAACAAAGTTAACTAAAGTTTTTCCCACCAACATAGACCATTTCCAATGGTCCACTTTAAACTCCAATTTATCATTCACCCGAACTTCATTTTTGATAAATAAATACATGACTTCGATGTTCTCGCAGAGGAGAACACATATCAACTTTGATATTCCAAATTGGACTAACGGGTCCCATCGAAAATTGTGCCAAATTGAGCAGCTCACTCATTTTTTCCAACAGTTCCAACATTATCATTTGAAACTGTAGCTTTAACTAGTTTCCTTTGTGCTAACAGGCAACAAAGATATGTGCGGCGCTCCATTAAAATCAAGTTCTTCCCCAACAAAACTTTCTGTTGGAACACTAATTGTAATCTTCGTAATCCTTTCCCGACATAAACAAACATTAGGACGAGAAGAGGCGACTCTTTCCCTGGTGCAAAGGAAGCTAACCTCGGTTGTCGATTTAGACAAAATGGAACAAGGGTCATCATCACCAGAAAACTCTACAAGCAGCAAGAAATCTGACCAGAATGTGAAGCTCACTTTCTTGAAGGAAGATCTAGAACATTTCGACATGACATCTCTGCTAAAGTCCTCAGTAGAGATATTAGGAAACAGAGTTTTTGGGTCGTCTTACAAAGCCGCACTTAATGTTGACCAGGTTATAGTTGTGAAAAGATTTAGGCATATGAATAGTATTGGAAAAACAGATTTCCATGAGCATATGAGAAGCTTAGGCAGGTTGAGCCACTAGAATCTGCTTTTGATTGTCGCTTTCTATTATCGGAAAGAGTAGAAGCTCTTGGTTTTCGATTATGTTGAAAATTTTAGCCTAGCTTTCCATCTCCATGGTATTTTGAGACTTCTCACCGTCGAAGATAAAATGTAAATAGTAAACACATGAGCCCTCTCTAAGAGTTTAAGCGGTTAAACTAAGTGGTTCATGTTTGCTACTAAGGAAAAAATGAATTCCACTTAACTCATGAGGAGGCAGGTTGAAAATAAAATTTAAATGATATATATGTAGCCCTCTGTAAGAGCTTAAACTGTTAGATGAAGTGGTTTAACAATTACATTGTTATTTGTCATGCATGCATCTAAGGTACGTGATCACATTTTGCAAATCTTAGTACGTAACAAATTTTTCTCTCGACTCTGGATTGGACTGGATTAAGGAAGAGTCATTTAACATGTCTGTTGATCTCTTCTATCCCGTAAAATCCAACGTACTAAATGTGTCATAAATGTACTTCATCTTGACTTCCATTAGTCTAACTAATGAGTTTTTGTTCTAGGTAATCGAACTCGTGGCCATCCACCCCTCGACTGGCCACCATGGTTGAACATTATCAAAGGAGTATCTAAAGGCCTTTTGTGCCTCCACAATGAACTCCCAAGCCTGATGGCATCACATGGTCACTTAAAGTCCTCAAATGTGCTTCTTGACAAATCTTACAACCCCCTTCTCACAGACTATGCATTGATTCCAGTAGTCAATCAACAACATGCACAGGACCACATAACAGCATACAAATCACCCGAATACATGCAGAGTCAACAGACCATGCGAAAAACCGACGTGTGGACACTTGGAATACTAATTCTCGAGATCCTCAGAGGGAAAATCCCATCAAACTTCTTGCAACAAGGCAAGGAAAGCGAAGCCGATTCGGTGACGTGGGTTGAGTCCTGACTAGCCAGGGACGACAGCAGCGATTATAACATGGAAAAAGTGTTCGATAAAGACATAGCAGGAACCAAAAATAGCGAAGGCGAAATGATAAAGCTATTGAAGATTGGATTACATTGTTGCGAAGCGGATTTGGATTCGAGGTGGGATATAAAAAAAGTCGTTGAAAAGATTGAGGAAGTTAAGGAGAAGGATGCAGATGATGATTTTTATTCTTCCTATACAAGTGAATGTGATATGATGTCTTCAAGAGGATTGTCTGATGATTTCTTATTTAACAATATTGTTGAAACTCAAATGTGCTTCTTGACAAATCTTACAACCCCCTTCTCACAGACTATGCATTGATTCCAGTAGTCAATCAACAACATGCACAGGACCACATAACAGCATACAAATCACCCGAATACATGCAGAGTCAACAGACCATGCGAAAAACCGACGTGTGGACACTTGGAATACTAATTCTCGAGATCCTCACAGGGAAAATCCCATCAAACTTCTTGCAACAAGCAAGGAAAGCAAAGCCGATTTGGTGACGTGGGTCGAGTCCTGACTAGCCAGGGACGACAGCAGCGATTATAACATGGACAAAGTGTTCGATAAAGACATAGCAGGAACCAAAAATAGCGAAGGCGAAATGATAAAGCTATTGAAGATTGGATTACATTGTTGCGAAGCGGATTTGGATTCGAGGTGGGATATAAAAAAGGTCGTTGAAAAGATTGAGGAAGTTAAGGAGAAGGATGCAGATGATGATTTTTATTCTTCCTATACAAGTGAATGTGATATGATGTCTTCAAGAGGATTGTCTGATGATTTCTTATTTAACAATACTGTTGAAATTAATAGGAAAGAATTTCTACATTTGTTTCCTTTAATTATAATTGGAATGATCATGATATATCTTCATTGGAATTATAATCTGCATTCAATAATCTGGTACTGTTTAAATTTCTTGATTTAGTGATACTTGTGATCACCTTTATTTCACTAATTTTATCGAGGCTCGAGGTTGTCTCCTAAAACCTGAAAAACACTAAAAAAATAAATAGAAACTTGCTGAAAATACTAGCATACATGGGTTTGGTACTGCACAGGGTATACTCCCACTCTTCAATAATTTCGAATTATTTTCTTGAAACTCATCATAACGAGGAACATTGTTTGACATCTATAATTATACACTCCTTGACCCGTTACCAAGAATTGCTTGTTACAATATTCAAATTTTTGCTTACTAAATTCAGATTGATTAAATTATTTACAGAGAAACAAAAAGTTTTTTAAATACAATAAGAACTATCTACAAAAATATCTTTTTGATTGTTTACTGTCAAAAATTGACAATAAAAAAATAGCAGCTTAAAGCTTTTCAACGAGGGTATTTTACAGAATTAGATATGTTAGATTAAGTGTGATCAATTTTACTTTTAAGTGATTTGTATTTGTCAAACGTGTTTTACTTAAAAAAGTTGATTTTTTATTAGTTTTGGTAAAAGGGCTGATTTTTAAAAGTCTAGCAAGGTTTAGTACTTATATGGTAACTCAAAATTTTTTTATTCAAGAGATAATAGAAAGAAATAAAATACGATCAAAACTTATTTCACGATCTATGTAATGATTTGAGTGAAAAGTTCGATTTGATCCAAACATGAGACACGTTATATTTTCATTTGTGCTCATGATATGAAGAATCAAGTAAGTGAAGTGGTGAAATATTGTTAAGAAATTATACATAAATAATTTCACAGTATTGAAATTACAATTATATTGGCTACTACTCAAATATTTTCGTTTAGTTTTATTGAAAATTTGATTCATCTAAATATTAGAACATATTATTGAAAGTTCTTAAAAATAATGGATTACAAAATGAGCCATTCCCGTCCTTTCTCACTCAATTCATGTGATTTATGTTTTTAAATTTAAAAAAATAAAAAAATAAAACACATATAAACACACAAAAATAAAATATTTTAATTCCTGCTCCGCTCCTATCCCTTTTATACCCATTACAAATTTTGTTTTCGATGAATCTCCTATATTCAAATTTTCATATAAA